GATTGATATGACTTATGGAATCATTGAAAACCAGTATGGGAGTACTGGACAGCTGCTTCATCCCAGTAGTTTGGGACTCATCGGCAGTGTGCACCCATCGCAGGAGGGTTGAATCCAGGACCTCCCACTTACAAGGCGATGTCCCATGAATTCCAACTTCTACGATCTCATGTTTTTAGAGTGACCACCAGCCAATGTCATCGACAGGAACTCCATCCTCATTGCCGAGTGGATAAACCCCAGGATAGTATAATTCCATATTAATTTATTTTTAAGATATGCCATACAGTAAAGAAACTCTATTATTATTCAATGGATAACAACGTTTCGAACACAATTTATTTTTGCCCATAATCATATCATCAATGATAATCACACAACTTTGAAACTTTCGTTTTATGGTTTTCTTTATTCTTTCCTATTTGTCACCAGGGTCGATAGTAGAATTTTCCAGATATCTGGGTGAACAGGTTTTGAAGCATTCGCCCTACGTGTATTTGCAGTTGATTCAACAAGCATAAAGCTTCCATTATCAATCTCTTCCTCCCCCCCCGCATCCTGTCACAAAAGATTTCCTGGCTGTCATCTTATCCTATCCATCTTGTTGTATGGTTGTGTGTAATTGCATGTAGTGAGTGCTATAGCTGAACTAAGTACACCTATATAGGCAGTCAGAAAGGAAGTCATTTCTGACCAAGAACTTGAACTTGGAACAAAAGTATCACCAGAGGACATAATGCTGAAATTGCATCTATACCTGACTTACATAGTATTTAAATTCTAAGGGAAAATATACAAACAAACTGAGGGAGTTGCCATAGGGTCACCAGTATCCCTGGTTGTGGCAGATATATTCTTGGACAGGTGGGAGATGCTTAGCGACTGAATCTCTCAGCTTCACCCCAAAAGTATGCTGGAGGTATGTAGGTGACACATTCACCGTACTTAGAACATAGGACATAAATAGATTTTTAGAACACATTAACTCAAAGGTGGAGGCAAATCAATTCAATTATGAACTGGAAAGTCAGGAAGAGGAGTTTCCAATGTTAGATTGCAGCGTAAAAAGGAAAGAAGATGGGAAGTTAAACAGTACTGTTTACAGGAAACCCACACATTCAGACTGATATTTGGACTTCCGATTATCTCATCCTATGTCAGTAAAAATAGGATTGGTGAAATGTGTAAATGACAGAGCACAAAAACTAAGTTGTAGTACCAAGGAAAATCTAAGACAGGAAATGGGGCATATTAGAGAAGCTTTCAAACCTAATAATTACCCTAATAAATTAGTCAGAAAGTATGTAGGGAAATGTGAAAATAAAATAAACAATAATATTAATATTAATGACGACATGCATGTCAAACATGCACAGGATAATGACAACACTAACAATAGGGAATATAATTCATCAGTAGTAATTCCATACCGAGAAGAAACTTCCGAAACCACCTTACGGAGAATTCTTATCAGTTCAGTCAGAAATATAGGTGGCTGGCATTCAAAACCATAAACTCAATTAGAAATAAGCTTTGTCGGTTAAACGATCCTGCCAGTGGGGCCAATTAAATAAAACAGTTTAGTTTATCTAATACCCTGCTGGAATGATTGACAGTTCAAATACACAGGTCAAAGTAGTAGAACGGGGTCATTCAGTCAGACTAGCTGAACATAAACACTTAGCAAAATCTAGATTGGTTGATCCAAATAAGATAAGAAATCTAGAGAATAGTTCAGCTATAGCACTATATGCAATTACACACATGACCACACAATAGGATAGGATGGGATGAGATAACAGCCAGGAAATCTAATGTAACAGGGTGAATGGAGGGAGAGATTGATAATGGAAGCTTTATGCTTATTGAATCAACTGCAAATACACGTAGGGCGAATGCTTCAACACCTGTCCACCCAGATATCTGGAAAATTCTGCTACCCACCCCGACGACAAACAGGAAAGAATAAAGAAAACAATAAAATGAAAGTTTCAAAGTTGTGTGATTATCATTGATGATATGATTATGAACAACAATAAATTGTGTTCGGAACTTTGTCATCCAGTAAATAATAATACTGTTTCTTCACTGTGTAATATATCTTATAAACAAACTAATATGGAATTCTTAGCTATATTTCAACGTCTCACTCTCAGAATAATCGATGTATATAAGTCGATTCCTTGAAAAACCAAATCATTCAGAACACAGAAACGCACACCTTGCGATCTACTTGATACCGTAGGTGGTAATCAGTAAAGGGAGTATATATTTACATAAATCTATATACTGATAATTGATTGAGATGCAAATTAACTCTCGGAATCGCAGACTTATTTGCAAATTATCGATTGGATTCTTGGTGTCACCATTTTGCCTAAGTAACTAGCCAGAAATTGGACGGTCTCTGAGCCGATTTGTGGAACCAAACTCATCCTTGATGAGCTCATCCCCGAAAGAGCGAAATCGCCATCGGTTGCTAAAACCACCTCCATCTGACTACTAATCACTACTGGTCGATAGGAATGGTATAAAGCTACTCTCATTTGAATTAATCGGCAGTATATAGTTTTATATCTACCTGGGAAGCATCGTTTCAACTACAGGCCGATGGAACTGACAAGGATATCAAAGCAGCGAGGATCGGGAAAGCAAGACAAGCTTTCATTACTCTAAAGTCTGTGTGGAGGTCAGCAGTACTCACCATGAAAAATAAGGTCCGGATTTTCAACTCCAATGTGAAGTCAGTCAGTGCTACTATACGGATCAGAGACTTGGCGCCGCGACGCGTAACGAAGAGCACTTCGAACAAACTTCAAACTTCCATCAACAGCTGTCTTCTCTCAATACTCAAGATCAGGTGGTCGGCCGGCAAAGATCAGCAACAGTGTTCTCTGGCAATGGACGAACCAACCCAGAGGGAACCAATTATGCCAGAAATATACAGGAAGAAATGCAGATGGAATGACTATACTCTGAGAAAACAAACCATCGATTGATATCCCACATCAAGCCATTGCTCGAGTAGAACCTGAATGGGAAGCAGCGAGTCGGTCGTCAGTGCGATGGTGACATAGAGCATGTCATGTGAAGAGGAGATGAACGCATGTGGGCAGACATGGAGCCGGTTGAAATCGTTGGTAGAGAACCGAATGCAATGGAGACGTTCGGCTGAAGCCCCATGTTCCTCTAGGAACTACAGGGAACATTAATAATTAATATAGTTTTATACTACAAAAATGTCTATTCCCTTGCTTCTGTGAAGTTAAATTACACCAGTAACACATTGACATTTCTCAACCTGGTTTTTAAAACTAGCAATTAGACAAATCAACACAACCTAATTCTTGACCACTTTCTTCTTACTTATCGTTTGGCATAAACAGAGGAATCTAGAGTTGCCTTCTGAGGTTGGAACTCTCCTAGGGTTGACAGGGTTTGTTTCAGAAGATTCCGTTGGAAAAGAAAAAAGGATGATACAGTTGTGTGTCGAAAAGCTGTCTGGTTTTCAGAAAACTGTCTAACTGATGTTTATTCTAAACAGCACTTTTGATACACTTCCTAATATTTAAATATTCTACACTGTCTCCTTATTTAACATCTATAAATACCAGATGTCTGTAAGGCAGTCTGTCCTCCTCTCATACACACGCAGACACACACACACACACTAACACAGGAAGAAATAGCTGATTTCATTTTCTGTAAACATTCAAGCATTTCCTGACCATTTCTGTTAAACATGTTAAACAACCAAATTTTAGATTGGTCCATAAAATATGAATCAATCGCGATTCAGTTTGACAAAAAAAGATCCTGATTTTTGCACGTTATCTCATTCATAACAGCTGTAATAGTTGAAGTAGTAACCTTTTTTTGAAACATAAATTGCATGAATTTTTCATTTCAACCCAAAGATAATTCCCCAAAATGTGTGCTGGAACACTGTCCAACCTGGCTAGCCAGAGGAGAAAAGAAGTAGAACACCAGTAGTCCTATCCTCAGAGATCTTATCAACTCCTAACATCGGCAGCTCCGCCCCACCCACCACCCGCCCACATCCACAGCATGATCGCTTTACACTGAGTGCCAAACAGAGTTCCTCGACGTCTCACGAAAGAAATCAGAATACGTCATAATCAAATCATTTAGGGGCTATTTGAAGTCTGAAACTGGATCTCTACATTCAACGAAGTCCTACACACATCCAATTGCCTCACGCGGTGGTCAGGGTAACCTTCTCACGATAATTTTGTTTCATTCTGTTATGTAAGTTTATTGTTATTATTATTAATTTATTAATAAGTTTTGCATTTCTCATATAGATTTTAAATTGGTTAGTCAGTTTTCACAGGCACACACACACTTATTGCGTCATTTCAACTCCCCTCTTTTTTCTAATCTCTGATCCATTAGTCATCCCCGAACCCCTAGATTACACACCTCACATTGAGTAATACAGTGTCTATAGAAAGCATAAGTACCAGTATCGATCGGACTGGTGTTATGAATTCTTTGGCTATGCGTAAACAGACGATTATACAGCTGTAACTGTTGAAATTAATGATTCGTCGAATAGCGGAATTTTCTTCTCTGGTCAACAGCTTAGCTGTAATTCATTTTATCTATGTCGAACTCACTTACGCACGCACACACACACACACAAACAAATAAAAATGCACTTCAGTTACCTGGCTGGCATACAATTACTCATCGTCTAAAGATTATCAATAACAATCGAAATAATAGATAGGACATACAAATTGGTACACATACCTGATAATGTAGAGGGAGATGGAGAGACAAACACATCAGTCAGTGTATGTATGAATTCATATTGATCGATAGACAAACACATCCACACACACACACAAATACAGACACATACGGAAACACGTCCACATGCATAGACGAGCTCATTTATGCATTTTATGCCTAAACTACATTTATAACCACTAGATGTGTCATGTATGTGTTAAAATCTTACTCAAATTCATTCAAGATGTACAAATAATGATAGAAACCAGAAATCGATAATATGAGATCTTTTTTTCACCTAACACACAGAAATACATGAGCACAAAGAAATAGACAAAGTGAGAATGTAAGCGCGCGCGAGAGAGAGAGAGAGGATACGTGCATTCATACAATAACATGTTACAGTTAATACTCATAATAACGAGTATTATTATTATTATGATTATTACTAATGTTACTTAAAATATTATTGGCCCATTTCTATTTTGTTTTCAATTGTAATAATAATAATAATAATACTTAAACTAATCATGGAATTTAATCGAAAATCAATTCGACAAATTGGTTATTATACACCAACGTATTCAAATTCACCAAATATAATAAAACGCTGTAAAAATGATGTCTCATTATACAATATTAACGCTAACACTTATCGTTCGGAATTATACGGTTTAAATTTACCGCAATTTTATATGGCGGAAAATTTAAAACAATACAAACAATATAAAGATGGTGAACAGAATAAAATAACAAGTAATAATAATAATAATGAGAATTTTACAAGTAGTCATATGAGAATTAATCATACTCTTGATGGTAAAACACAGATAATCTATGAAACACCGAGTAGAACACGTCAGTATTGGTTAAATCGTCGCCGACTAGCTAGTGCTAATCGTACCAATGATAATATCACTATAGTGACTAATAGTGCTGCCAATCAAAACATAAAAAATCAACTGATTAAAACAAATGACCCATTGAAACATAAACATTCAGTGTCCAATGATCAATTTTCACTTTGTGGTACTACAACAACAATAATAGCAAAGACAACAGCTACAGCAACACCAAATATTAATCCAAATAATCAATGTTATTATGATAAAAAGCCAGAAAATAAAAGTGAATTAGACAATTGGAATATTGAACACACGTGTATGCATAAAACTAAAGATATGAAATTATTTGAATTAACAGAGAACGAGTTTATCCTGTCGGAATTAGATCCACGATTGAATTTAAATGAAAGTGGAATAATATTGAGTGATGGGAAAAATTATTTAAATCATTCAAGAGAATATGATGAGATACCTGTTTATCAACCAATTGAAGAAAGTAACAAGGTGAGTTACATTCTATCTATCTTTTTGTGTATATATGTATATTTTCAGGCTCATATTTTCTGAACTTATCTATTTTACTTAGAGTCTGGTTATGCAGAGATTTGATTGGTTACAGCTTTGATGGTGAGCTGATGTCATTTAGAAATCCAGCAGGGAGTGCTGCTGGACAGGTGTTTCGTCCTAGTTTGGGACTCTTCAGAACACTGAATATTCAAAACCCTATCACCCAAGATCTTTAGGTTACGATGGGATTCATTAGATAGCCTGTGAATTTCGACCCGAACTGCCAAATTTAACTCCACAGTCATCCAGAGTCATCGGAAAGTTTTTTTTGAATTCGTGATAACCTATCTCTGTTTACTGTTCAACAGAAAATTTTATCCACAGACCATTCGATGTCAGTCTAGGCTGCATTTTCAGTATATCCAAAACGAGAAAATCACAGCTAAAGTATCATTTCTTGAAAGTTTGCTTTAAAAATAATGTTTTAAAAGCCTCATGAATAAAACATGCATCCAAGATTCAAATTAAATGGCCGCTTTCCCTGATTAATTAATTTTTTATCTGCGAAAGAGGTGGCTTATTTGACTTGGAAAGATTGTAGTAACACTTGAGTTTTAATAGCTGTCAAGAATTTTTATACGAGGAGATCAAGAACGTCTCTCCTGTCACTAAAATGTTTTCCATTCCTAAAAGAACCGAAGGTTCACCTTCGTCCTGTGGCATTACTGTCATTAAAATCCTTTAATACACCGCAGTAGAATATATTTTAATTAGCTAGAGATTGCTATTATTGTTATCATTGTTCCCTGAGGTTCCAAGTGGAATATACGGCTTCAGCGGAGCATCTCCATTTCATTACTGTTCTCTGCACTTCTTTTTAACTGCCTACACAATAGTCCATGAGCTTCCATTTCCTTCACACATAAGATGTCTACCATGTCACCTTCAGTCGACACCCAGTTCGTCACCCGCTTTCCAATTAGATTCCCATCGAATTCTGAGCAGGCTCGTGATGTCACCCAGCGGACTTAATTGTATCCCCCCCTATTGATCCACCTCCACTCTCTTCTCCATACTTTTCTGGGTGATGGATTACTGGATGGTTTGCTGACTGTCAGTGTTCCTTTTCGTTTATCTTTTTCGGACGGCCACGTGATCTTCATTATGGCGCTAGAGATGTCACCTGTTGATAAAAGTCTGTAATAGCCTGTTGGGAGTGCTAAATCTCCGATCCATATACAGGCACAAACTATCCTTAATGTCACCTGTGGAAGATTTCCTGACTGGTTTTGACATTCTCATTTGTAGCTTTAAAATCCCCATTGAGTCATATGAAAAGGAGAAGACGTTCAGCGAAGAGACTCTTTTTAGCGAATTTGCCGAAAAGAGTCTCATTTGTTCTGACTGTCTGTAGTTGAAACAATGCTGCCCAGATAAGTGAAAGAAGCGATTTCCTTCAAATTTCTTCCATGGATAATGATCGGTGCCTGTTTTGGCTGGTTAGGTTTCTTATACAGCCTTCCTAGCCAGCTTCAAACATTGTGCGGACATTTCATGCCCCAATACTGATTTTTGCTTTCATCAAATGCAAACACATAGACTAACTCACTTCCTGAAGGCTTTCATCAGCCCATGTCATTCCGTCACTCCGAGTGAAGCGAAGGATAAGTTTATATTCAGTGCATCAACATCTCTGCAGCGTTTGGGTTGATTCTCTGAGGTAGCGTCGCTAACCCCACCCCCAGTATTCCCTCGTTTTTCCTCTACCGAATTAAGACGCACTAATAAACTAGGCGAGTTCGACTGGGTAAAGACTAAAACCTTAAAAAGGAGTTATCGCGCACTGGCATGAACCCTTTGAATTTCCCTCTGTTTGGATTGATGGATTCCTATTGGCTACCAACACCATTTTTTTAAAACATCACTTAATTACTGCATTTTCAAAGCCATTTTAACTGTATATATATACAGAGTTTCTGTCTAACATTTTGACTGTTTTCTGAGACAGTAAAAGCTGTCGTCTGGAGGTCCAGTCTTTTCTTTTGTCTTTGCAAGCCGTCAGTGTTATTGTTGTTTTCGTTGACGTGCGATTAGGACAGATTAGCCAGCGCATTAAGTTAGTGTTCGCTTATAGTCTAGCAGGTCGTAGTTGCGGTCAAAACAGAATATTCTTTTGTGATGACCTCTTCTTCATCAGGTTCTACAGTTTTATATATATATATATACACATAAAAAGTTCAAGAATAATTGCTACAAATAACATCGAATCACTGAGATCAAGTTTGAATACTTGTGTATTCTACAGTATGTATTCTTAAACGACTTGATTCAGTCTCATGAAGTCAATTTTATTAAGTATGCTGATGATCTGACAGTTTTCATGCCTGTTACATCTTAATCAGATTGTCCCAAAATCAATACCTTTCAATCAGAAATGAGTTAGCAGTCCTCATTAAATAGCCTTAAGTTTCATACATTTCATTTATTCCTTCCCACCTGTATGAATTTGAAGAAGCACGCAACAAGAACAGCGTTTTTTGCAGAATACAATGGTACCATCATTGTTTATTTCACTGGCCTCCCATCAACTGCTTAAAGCCTAAAGGCATTATTAAATTTGTCTACAGAAATGATGTTAACATACTTGCACAAAGTTTATTTTTAAACAAAAAATCAATCAATATAGATGCATACATTGCTAATAATCCCAAACAATAATAGTCATACCCAGTGGAAACTTTTGGAATTACCTAGTCAGTTACCAGGGCAAGGAAAAACTGATAACTGCTTCTTTCTGAACACAAAAAGTCGGGTTTCTGGCGCCTGATGGAGATTGCTTCGGCAGACTTAAGGAAAATTGAACTCTTCTGCCTACTGATAATTTTGAGCGATCTTGAGACGTCCATGTCATAACCCATGTCAAGGAGATGCCCGGTGATGGCACTGTTTAAAACATTTTTCTCTTTTAGATATAGCCTTTTTGGTACATATTCAGAAAATCGGAGGTATGGCCTTCTTTCTGTACTCCCAATGTCACTGCTCCCTCAGACACATGTAAATTTGTATATACAGTTGGAGTTTCCATGAGAAGGATATCTATCGACTTTTGATTACACCAAATAGCAAGTTGTTTGATAGACGGGAACGAGGTTAACTGCAGGATAGGCTCTGCCTGGTGACATCCTCAATCTTCTATTGACAATTGCTGTAATATTTTCACGTTTAAAATCAAGTTAAATGAAGGTGGGTTTTTTTCCACTATGACTTGTTCGATATTTGAGCCTGCACTGAGATCCAAATGGATATTGATCCAGGATGGTTAGCAAGAGGACAGTGTAAGACAATTCCTATCACTTGGTAAACTCATGCTACACAGCTCCATCAGTGACCTCTCATAAGGTTATCTACAAGGTGGAACTGAATCGCACAAAAGGTGTTACGTTTTGATATTTATGTACGGTGGAGGTGTGTGTAGAAAAAATGTTTGTTCACTCTGTCTTATTCTAACAATGTCGAAATCTCTTGTGTAATCGTTCGCTTTCATTTTTAGTAATTAATTCACTATTGTCACTCTTACTTGTTCCCTCTTCACCCTTGTTCATTGGACGAAGACTCAAATAACTCCCTTAGTTGTCATTCAGTAACAATTTTAACCATGTCACTTTTCAATCCCTTTCTTCTAGTGACTATTACGTAATCTTTTTGTAGGAAAAAATTAAGAAGACTTTACTTACTTACCTACTTTTTTTCTCTGCGTTCCGAGTGGCTTGAACCTTGAGCTTTGACGTTTCAGTAGCAATGGTGTTTTGTTTTACGGGGTATGGTTGCTAGCCCCAAGCCCAACCTTCCCTCTTTGTCAGGCTTACAACCAGCTAGGGGAGGTAAGGATGTGCGCTAGCCGGGAATCGATCCCTGGACCACTTGCTTGGTCTGCAAACATTCTACTGTCAGGCCACCGATGCACAAATTATCTTTTTATGGGAAAAAATGAAAAAGATGGTTGCAGTATAGAAGATTTCCTATTCAACGAAGTCATCAACTAGGCTTTATATTCATTTATATATACAGTAAGTAGGTAAGAAGGTTCAAGACCTATTTTCAGCCTAAGATCAAGTGATATCGAATAACAAGACTACAAATAGGGATTTAAAAAACTGTAAAAATAACAGAAATAAACAGAAAGTTTGAATAAAAGATCTAGTAGGATAATCCCCACTGAGAAAATCTATTGTTTATGACGGCTTTGGTATAAACAAAGATTGGATGTATTTCTTTTGAATACATAACGCTGGTTTGAATTATTGGATCAATAGTGCCTTAGCTATGCCCAGATACTTTGATCGCACTCCTTTTGAGAGGTTTAATCGGATCTTGTATACAACGTTGAAGGAATTTTCAAATAGAACTCGGTGTTCTGAGTTCACCAAATGTTTTGTTACTGAGTTATTTACACACACCTACGTTCATCATTAACTAGCCAGTCTGGATAGTATTCCCCAGAGCGTTTTACAAGCGGACAAATGGTACGGCCAATGTACTACTCCGTTCCACAAAAGTAAATCAGCTAGTAAATGCATGTTGATGTGGTCCATTGACACTGTTTGTCTTTCTTGTAAGAAAGTGTCACTCGTAGGCTGGTGGCGAAGAATGTTTTACTGCTGTTGATTAATTTCGAATTTAAAAGTGATACTGAGGCAGAAATTCCCTGAAAACGACTTTTAAATTCCGTTAGTAAAAAGTAGTTAATTTCCTTCGCACCTGATTTTCACCATGCCACAGTTGGACACGAAATCCATCGTTTGACATTCAGATTCAGTCCGACGGCCCAACTAATGTGTCTATCGTAGACTTTGCCTCAGAGTAACCGTGTGTCGAATCCATCTCCTCTGCCTTCTGTATACTCGTTAGGTAGAGAAAAATAAAGATCACTAAGTGTTTCGTTCTATTTTGCGACTCTTCAACAGTATACACCCAATTGGGTTCGAACCCAAGACCTT